CAGGTTTTAATAAAATGTAAATTAATAACAGTCATAATAAGCATGTTTCCAGTACGCGCCTCAGGCTTGCACAGTATCGTCAACTCACTCATCAGAATCTTCGGTAATCCTCGGCAAACTTCGCCACAGCTCATTCGGTTCTTGTTGAGTCCTCGGTAATCCTCGGCAAACTTCGACAGCTGGTTGAACCGGCTCATTCGGTTCTTTTTGAGTTGGATGTGCTACTTCGGCTGTGCGTCCTGCGTCATTAACCCGAAACTAAAGTTCGATTCAGTTCGATTTGTGAACCGGCTCGGCCTGATACTTCCTGAGAACCGGCTCAAAAGAACGATTCGTTCAAGAACCTAACATCACTATAAAGCGGTACTAAACCGCAGTGGAAACGCAAACCGAGCCGTGCCATGCCGTACTACGCAGTGGAAAAGCGCCATAAATGCGATTGTATGAGGTTAATGACTGTGTGTGTATGGAGATTTATGAATATGGGTAAATGGTACACCTGAGTTCGTTCCATTAGATCTGTGGACCACCGTGTGCTATCTGTTACATTTACTTTGAAAAGTGACATTTAAGTCATGTTTTTTTTTGTTTTAAAAAATGCAAATGTACTTGGCAAAGTATCGTAAATTTACACCTGAATCGGTTTCTGAGAAGTGCAGCATGCTTATATTAAGTATGATCTCCATGAAATTTGATATAAATCCACACGAACAGCATTTTTGCTCAGGGGTTTATCTTTTTCCTTTGCGTTTTGATTGCTGGAGCGCATAACTCACTATGCCGAGTGTTTGATTTCTAAAAAAGTCTGGATTTTGTTACACAAAGTGCCTGCGAGTTCACCATACCATGCTAAAACATTCCTCTCAGAAGTGCACACTTGTGTCTGCACTAGACAGCATGTGATGAGCCCACGTCTGTACCATTTTAAAGCTTGTATTCACTTTGTACCAAACACGGTTGTCTAAAAATGTTGGTTTGTTCCTCGTTTTTTCAATAAAATCAGCATCACTGAGAGAGAACGTGTGTGTGGGTTTTTATTTACACCGTACTTAAGGTCAAATAGTTTGTGGCTATGCGTACTACAATACTACACTTATTATTTCTGAAGTATAAAGTATGTATAATGTAAACAGAATGCAGATGCCAAAATATTCAGTATACAAGACAAATTGCACACTGAGTCCGAAATTTTGTGTCAATCACGTTTACATACTGCCTCCGAAACTTTCATCCGTCATAAAAAAAAATCGATTTTCTGCTTTTTCGCATCCGTAGCAAGCATTTTGACGGATGACGAATACGAAAAACGCATACGAAAATTTCGGACTCAGTGTGCAAGGACCTTAAGTCAGGTTAGACGCCATATTGAATTTAACGTGGATGAAAACGAGGCTCTGAAGGATGAACTATCAGTCTTTTTTTTTATGTTATTTTTAATATTGCTGTCAACTGACAAAGTTTCCCTTCTGAATTATCTTAACTGCACAAGTTTTACAGTTAATCAAATCTTTAAAAACAAATTACATTAATTATACTTTAATTTCCTTCAATAAAAAGGAAATTGAGTAAAACGGTGTAAAAGGTGTGTGGACGTGGATTAGTAATCTGGCCCCTTGGTATTAATGGAGAAAAAATGCTGGCCCTAGTCACTATCAAAGTTGCCCATCCCTGCGTTATATTTTCTGTCCACTGACAACAAAGTTTTCCTTCTGAATTAGCATAACTGCACAAGTTTTATACTTAATAAAATCTTTAAAAACAAATGACATTAGTTATACTTTCATTTCCTTCAATAAAAAGGAAATTGAGTAAAACGGTGTAAAAGGTGTGTGGACGTGGATTAGTAATCTGGCCCCTTGGTATTAATGGAGAAAAAATGCTGGCCCTAGTCACTATCAAAGTTGCCCATCCCTGCGTTATATAGTAGTACGCTGTCCTTTAAAAGTGCACTAAACTAGAGCAACGATTACTTCGGTATATCGAGTTACAGAAATTTAGCTAATAAAAAAACTTGTAATCGTTCAAAAATGTGTAAGTGTAAAATAACTCAGTTACAATATGTAAAAATATGTATATTTTACCATTATATTATGCATTTATATTATTTTACGAACAAATCTAAATTAACATATAAAAATATATTTTGTTGTGTTTTGTATATTTGGCACTGAGATTTGATGTAGTGACACAATTTTGCGACGTGATTACATAATGACGTCATCGCGCAATGACATCACAACGTAATTTTGCAACTTTTAGCAACAAATCGACCTTCCTTCAGCAACTTCCCCTGAAAATTAGTTGGCAACAGTGATTGTTTGCAGTGCAACTGTTATCGCACGTAGGCCCGTTCAGATTGGATGGAGCTCTGAATCCGTTACCGTACAGGCAACTCCTCCCTCCGCCTGTCAGACCTATCTGATCTCCCTCTCATCATGGCTCCGGCGGCGGACAGGCCGGGCTACTGGGGAACATCGACCTCAACACTCGACTGGTGCGAGGAGAATTATGTGGTCTCGTATTACATCGCAGAATTCTGTAAGTACGTTTGAACGGCGGGCTTGTGTTCAGTACACGCGGTCCATTGTCGTGTAGGACGGTAAACACGGATGTTACAACGGGAGAGAGGAGCATTGTCGAACCGTACTATGAGAAGACGTGATACGTAATATTCATGAGGGAATCGTCCGCTATTGGACGATTACGAGGCATCGTCAGCATAGCCTAATTAATATTGATAAGGCAGGTCTTCTCCATTGGAAGGGTTCGAAGCAACGTCAAAGTGACGTAATTAATATTAAAAAGCCACGCCTTGTTCATAGCAAAGTTCCAGAGCAACGTCAGCGTAACCTAATTAAAATTCATAAGCATTAGCCATAGTAGGATTCGTAACTTGGCAGCCGAGGCCAGCGACCCTCTGTCCGCGTTGAACTTGTATCATAAAGCTCAATAACAAATAAGAAATTAAAACAAATGACCGGAAAGAGAATGAATGAAACCCAGTGTGTGGCAATATTTGGGGAGGAGCTCGTGCCGCCGATACTGATTTTCAGTGAAATCACAAGAGTGTGAACAGAAAACATTCTTTATTTCCCACCACGTAGATGTTTTCTTATGTTAATCGTTCTTTAATTTGCTTTAATTATAAACTGACTATGAGTATATGGTCTAAAAATGTGAGCAGTGACTCGAATCAGAGCTGCTAATGAAGCTAAGTCAGTTGAACGTGGTTAAGAACTAACAGTGTAACCAGCAACATAACTAGCTTGTACTGTAAATATGCATGCCAGATATAGTGAAGCTGTATACTTGATAATTCTACTCATACCTACTATAATACTACAGTAATTGCGTGGAGTTTCGTTGGTCTCTGCTGACAGAAAAACATTACCAGCTGAAGATGGTTTGCAGGTCTTAGCTGGTACAGTTGGTCTGATCAACCGAAAAGTAGTTGATGAATAATAATAATGCAAAGCTACATTCTAAGTAAAAACTGAAAAATGCAGCAATTGTCTAAAATTCAGCTGAATAATTAAACTACAGTCCTAATATTCAAGAAAAAACTATGATATGTGAGATCCCAAATATACATAAAAAAATTGTGATGTGAACAAAGTAATTTTAACAAATATATTTCTAACAAAAATAATGAGGAATATTTTGTCATGGCCAGTATGAAATATTTATAGGCAGCATTTGTTTCCATTTTCTTTTGTTGGTTTGTTTCTTTCAGACATACTTATTAACTTAGCAACACTTTAAAAATGTTCATTACCATTAATATAATTAGAATGAGAAATCATATAATGAAGGATAGAAAGGAAAACTGCATTAAACACTAAGACGGTTTTCTGATCTAGTTGGTCCTCTCGCCTGATCAGTCAAAAAGTACCCAAAGCCACTGTACCGTGTATGTATGGTACAGTATGCATTAAAGTACCATCAGTATATTTTTGTAAGAATAATATAATATTTAAACAGTTTAATTACATTACTTTCACAATACAGACTTTAAAGGGGTCATATGATGCTTTTTTAAAGATCATTATTTTGTGTATTTGGTGTAACAGAATATGTTGACATGCTTTAATGTTCAAAAAACACATAATTTTGAAAATACTGTACATTATTGTAGGTCCTCTATGCCACGCCTCTCTCAAACGCTTCGTTTTCTACAAAGTCCCTCCTTCCGACAAGTGCAGTCTGCTCTGATTGGCCAGCTGACCCAGTGCATTGTGATTCTAGGTTTTGAGACTTTAGTCTTTGCAACTTCAGGGATCTTATCTATGCACAATCAGCTTGTAACACTCCAAAGAGAAAGGAAAACTTGAAATCGCATCATATGACCCCTTTAACTGAGATTTAAAGTAGTAAAGAAGTAGATTGCCATACTGGGAACTTTAGTTTGACTGCTGATATATAACAGTATGGAAGGACACAGTGTACGTAGCCATTACATCTCCATATTGTTTGCTAAAGTAGATTTCAGGTCACTCTGATAAGTTGGTCAAAGGGCACAAAGTGATAGTTAACATATGCGAACATTAATACTAATAGAGCTTGAATTCCAGCTGTAATTTCCTATAGGGTTTTAGGATAGCGGTGTTTGATTTAAGAATGAAATAGTCTGATTATTTGAGCTTCATTTTAAAACATAAATTACACAGTCATATTTCAAACATAAGTTTAATCGTTGCTAGAACCAACAGGAATTTCAGTGCCATCGAGATCAGAGGGGCCTTTGCTGTCCAGCGGGAACCTGTTGCCTTGTGAAGGAATGTGCCATGTTCAGTATGACGAGCCGTATATCCAAACAGTGAAACAATAGGCCTGTACACACCGTGTTAGGGCTTTCTAGCATAGGTTTAGTTTTCTTGGACTCAGCAAAGAGGCACGATAGCAGTCTGACAGCTGCTGGTGGTGCTAAGAAGCCGGTTTGGATGACGTTCACTCATCTATTGTTCATATCCATTCAAGTGGAAGTTCATGGCAGTTTTTACTGTTATCGTTCATAGAATAACTCAAATATGACTTATAAAGGAATAGTCCAAGATGTAGACGAGTTTGTTTCTTCAGATTTGGAGAAATTTAGCACTACATCAGTTGCTGACCAACGGATCCTCTCCAGTGAATGGGTGCTGTTTGGACTCTCATTCTGACGGCACCCATTCACTGCAGAGGATCCATTGGTGAGCAAGTGATGTAATGCTAAAGTTCTCCAAATCTGAAGAAACAAACTCTACATCCAGGATGGTCTGAGGGTGAGTTCATTTTCATTAAATTTTTGGGTGAACTATTTCCTAATATTTAAATTCATTAAAATAAAAACATTGTTTTTTGTTTTTTTTTGCTTTCTCCAGGGAATACTGTCAGTAACCTGATAATGATCCTACCTCCCATTTATGGAGCCATTCAGACGTGTAAAGACGGTTTGGAAGTACGCTATGTGTGGTCCTTTTTGGGACTTGCTGGTAACGTATCTTTCACGTGATTTTATATAAACACAACCCTAATTTTTTAGGAAGTGACCTTTCACCCAGTTATTCAAGACTGTATTTCCTAAACAAACAGAGATAAAATGTACCGTTTTTATGTTGTCTCTCTTTTCGCTACAGCCGTAGGTATTGGTTCATGGAGCTTCCACATGACACTACAGTATGAAATGCAGGTAAGCTGGACTTTTCTTCAGCCTTTCAAAATGTGCATCTTGTTGCCAAGCACATGAAAAGCTTATTTTCACTTTCATTCTCATAGCCACAAAGCTGCTTCTCTAACGGTACATCCCCAAAGCAATAGCAGTAGTTAACAAGCCTCTGGATTGTCTTTTGTTTTTAGTTACTAGATGAGCTGCCGATGATCTACAGCTGCTGCGTATTTGTCTACTGTCTGTAAGTTGACATTTCTTACACCTGCAAAGTCACACTGTCTGCCTTGCCTTCAACTTTGACCTCTGAACACTCATCATAAGCTTAATGAGGATCAGACGCTGTATGGACAGAAAATTATTTTTTATCATTAAGATTTTGGATTTCTTTTGCCATTCAAAAGTTTGGGGTCAGTAAGATGAAACAAGTCTATGATCTCCAAGGCTGCATTTATTTGATTATAAATACAGTAATATTGTGAAATATTTTTAGTTACAATTATTAGTTTATTTGATACAGATGTTTTTGTTTGTAAATTAGAAATGTCTTTACTGTCACCTTTGATCAATTTAATGCATCCTTGTTGAATAAAATATTAATTTCTGTCCAAAAAAAAAAAAAATTAATGACCCCAAACTTTTGAAAGGTAGCACATGATTGTAGGTCATTTACTATGGATGTTTTTTTCTGAATCTGAATGCATATCTCACATATTACAGATATGAATGCTTCAAGCAAGAGCGTGCCGTTAACTATTTGTCAATTACACTTTTGCTGACCTTCAGTATTATTGTTAGCGTGGTAAGTTTTTTCTTTGCTGTTCTAAATTTTCTAAAAAATGTACAGTGGGACACAAATTTCTACTATATTTTATTTTTCTAATTTAGTACAAACCTTTTCATTTCAAATGAAATTATCAACATAATTTAAATTGAAATCAACGAATAGTGGGGTGCAAATGTCAGAAATTTCTACAATTTTTTATTTTCTAATAACCTTTTCATTTAAAATAAAATTATCAATATACTTTGCATTGAAATAAAAAAATAAATGAATTTAAAATAAAACATTAATATTTCTTAATATGGCATTCATATTATCGAGCATTATTGAAGAATGTTATTTATTCTTTATTTGGATATCCATTAGCTTCCATAAAGTGGCCATGACACTTTGCATAAAAATGCTCAAAGTAAAAATAACAATGGGAAAAAAGTGACTTAGAAATACTGCAAAATCTTAATAAATATTTCCTCCTTTTCATATTAAACTTTCATTGTTTTAATTTATTAGAAACTCTACAACATTGCTTATTTCCTTTTTTTTATAAAATGAATAAAATCCCAGATTTTCAGTGCAGTCTCAGTCCCCACTCTTTATATACTGTATATATTATTGATATTTTTAGGTATTTTTTTCTCCATGCTCAAGAAGTGCATTTCATTTATCTTTTGCAGGTTTACCTGATATGGAAGGAGCCTGTGTTTCATCAGGTGAGGCCTGACTAAACATTTAATGCTGCATTAAGAACCTCTCTATTTTGGTTTATCCTATGTTGTCAGGTGATTTTGAGAGCATGACAATGTTGTGTCAAAACAGCTTCTGCAGTCAGTATTTGTTGTCTGTTTCTATTGTTGAAAGGCATGACAGTAGGGTGTGACACTGTTCATGCTCAGGGTATTGAATGGTACATGACTGTCTATAAACGCAATGCTGTGATCTCTTTGTTTAATATGACCAGCACATCACTGTCATGTAAAGCGCAATTATATTGTATTATTGTTTATATAGCAGATGGTGCTAAATACACAGGTTAACAACAGTTTTATCATTTCCCCCAGGTCATGTATGCCGTACTAGTGGCTTTCTTGGTGATTCGCTCTGTTTTCATAGTCACTTGGTGAGTGAATGAATCTTTATCACTTCCAAATCTGTATTCACTGCATTTGAAGCTTGTTTTACTTTCTATGATGTGAGATATTTCCAAGTGAAACATTACATGCATTAATCTGTACGAAGGTAAATAAGTGCATTAACATCTTGTCTTTGCTTTGCAGGGTGTATCCATGGCTCAGAGCCCTCGGCTTTACATCATTAAGCATCTTCCTGTTGGGATTTGTATTATGGAACATCGATAATATCTTTTGTGACTCTCTAAGGTAGATCAACATTTGCATTACATTACGTTTATGCATTTAGTATCATTTTAATTTTAGTCAACTAAGGTAACATTTTAGTTTACAAGAAAGTGCCAAATTAAATATTAAATTAAATATGAAAATATTTTATATGTTCATTTTCAAAATCAACATTTAATGTTGTTAAATGTTTTTAAATAATTAAAATATGCATGAATGATATTTACACACACACATTTATATATTCCTAAATATTAGAATATTTTGTGTATTCATATTACTTAAATCACTTGTTCTGTGGTTGACCAAGCAAAATGAGAGCAGATGAAAAACAGAAGAGGTCATTGTTTGTCACTGTTTTTGGTTCAGAGCCACACGGCAGCAGCTGCCCCCTGTGGTCGGAGCAGTTACGCGGCTTCATGCCTGGTGGCACGTCCTAACAGGCCTAGGGTCATATTTACACATACTCCTCAGGTACGTAATTATGAAGGGGTGCAAATGTCAGAAATTTCTAAAATTTTTTATTTTCTAATAACCTTTTCATTTAAAATAAAATTATCAATATACTTTGCATTGAAATAAAAAAATAAATGAATTTAAAATAAAACATTAATATTTCTTAATATGGCATTCATATTATCGAGCATTATTGAAGAATGTTATTTATTCTTTATTTGGATATCCATTAGCTTCCATAAAGTGGCCATGACACTTTGCATAAAAATGCTCAAAGTAAAAATAACAATGGGAAAAAAGTGACTTAGAAATACTGCAAAATCTTAATAAATATTTCCTCCTTTTCATATTAAACTTTCATTGTTTTAATTTATTAGAAACTCTACAACATTGCTTATTTCCTTTTTTTTATAAAATGAATAAAATCCCAGATTTTCAGTGCAGTCTCAGTCCCCACTCTTTATATACTGTATATATTATTGATATTTTTAGGTATTTTTTTCTCCATGCTCAAGAAGTGCATTTCATTTATCTTTTGCAGGTTTACCTGATATGGAAGGAGCCTGTGTTTCATCAGGTGAGGCCTGACTGAACATTAAGAACATTTAATGCTGCATTAAGGTTTTTCCTACATTGTCAGGTGTCTTTGAGAGCATGACAACGTTTTGTCAAAACAACTTCAGCAGTCAGTATTTGTTGTCTGTTTGTATTGTTTAAGGGCATGACAGTGGGGTGTCTTTATTCATGCTCAGGGTGTTGAATTGTACATGGGCGTCTGTACACACTGCTGTGATCTCTTTGTTTAATACACTGTCATGTAAAGCTCAGTGAAAAAAAATCACCATTCAAGCAGTCATATGGTTTATATAGCAGATGGTGCTAAATACACAGGTTAACAGTTTTATCATTTCCCCCAGGTCATGTATGCCGTACTAGTGGCTTTCTTGGTGATTCGCTCTGTTTTCATAGTCACTTGGTGAGTGAATGAATCTTTATCACTTCCAAATCTGTATTCACTGCATTTGAAGCTTGTTTTACTTTCTATGATGTGAGATATTTCCAAGTGAAACATTACATGCATTAATCTGTACGAAGGTAAATAAGTGCATTAACATCTTGTCTTTGCTTTGCAGGGTGTATCCATGGCTCAGAGCCCTCGGCTTTACATCATTAAGCATTGAAAGGCATGACAGTAGGGTGTGACACTGTTCATGCTCAGGGTATTGAATGGTACATGACTGTCTATAAACGCAATGCTGTGATCTCTTTGTTTAATATGACCAGCACATCACTGTCATGTAAAGCGCAATTATATTGTATTATTGTTTATATAGCAGATGGTGCTAAATACACAGGTTAACAACAGTTTTATCATTTCCCCCAGGTCATGTATGCCGTACTAGTGGCTTTCTTGGTGATTCGCTCTGTTTTCATAGTCACTTGGTGAGTGAATGAATCTTTATCACTTCCAAATCTGTATTCACTGCATTTGAAGCTTGTTTTACTTTCTATGATGTGAGATATTTCCAAGTGAAACATTACATGCATTAATCTGTACGAAGGTAAATAAGTGCATTAACATCTTGTCTGTGCTTTGCAGGGTGTATCCATGGCTCAGAGCCCTCGGCTTTACATCATTAAGCATCTTCCTGTTGGGATTTGTATTATGGAACATCGATAATATCTTTTGTGACTCTCTAAGGTAGATCAACATTTGCATTACATTACGTTTATGCATTTAGTATCATTTTAATTTTAGTCAACTAAGGTAACATTTTAGTTTACAAGAAAGTGCCAAATTAAATATTAAATTAAATATGAAAATATTTTATATGTTCATTTTCAAAATCAACATTTAATGTTGTTAAATGTTTTTAAATAATTAAAATATGCATGAATGATATTTACACACACACATTTATATATTCCTAAATATTAGAATATTTTGTGTATTCATATTACTTAAATCACTTGTTCTGTGGTTGACCAAGCAAAATGAGAGCAGATGAAAAACAGAAGAGGTCATTGTTTGTCACTGTTTTTGGTTCAGAGCCACACGGCAGCAGCTGCCCCCTGTGGTCGGAGCAGTTACACAGCTTCATGCCTGGTGGCACGTCCTAACAGGCCTAGGGTCATATTTACACATACTCCTCAGGTACGTAATTATGAAACATTAAGTCACTTAAATGCATGATGCATGTTGCATATGCTTATAATTTATTTTTTTGCCGTAGCCTTCAGATTCGCTCAACCTACCTCAAGCACAGACCAAAAGTGAAGTTTTTGTGTGGCGTTTGGCCGATGCTGCACATTGAATCTCAGAAGGCGAGTTGAAAGGGACCTGAGAAGAGGAAGATGGACCAATCACAGACCTCAGACAGACAGAGGTCCAGCCAATGAGCTTCAACGGCAGCAGGAAGTGACCAGCGGCTGTCGGTTTGGTTCCCCCGTTCCCTTCTTCCCCTTTCCGCTCCGTTTGCCAAGTGCATTACTGAGAAAGCTGCCAAATGAAGGAAAGCGTTTGTCTTTTATTATAGGGTAGATGAGAGCACACTGTAATATGCATAGAAATTGTCCTATAAATCAGAGGGTCTAATTAGCGAGAAAGAAGCGGCCAAAACTAGGATTTGGTTCCGGCTGGTATTTTTTGTTGCCTTCATGAGGGAAACTAATATAGCTTTGATGGATCATATCTAGTCAGTTTGGCATCTCATATTTTGTACTTAATGAAGATTATGCAAGATTTTACTTTTATCTCTACATTTTTAGAGATTATGAAGGTCAAATTAAGCAGATCAGAAAAATGAATGAGTGTTAATAAATTGGGAGTAAAGTATGATCTTTTTCATCCTGAAGATGGGGATGACATATTACTGTAACACATTTTACTGTAATAATGGTCATTGTACTCGGTGTGTTTCAGAGATACAGTAACATGTTACATAATCGTTTCCATGTTACACATATTACATAATAACATTCTTAATTACAGTAGAACAGTTTAACAAAAGTCATGAATTGCTCTGCAAATTAAGTGTCACTAAATCAATGACTCGCTTATTAAGCCACTCAGAATGAATCAGTGTTTTTGAACAAATTGTTCAATTTATGATTCAGTGACTCACTCCTAAAGATTGTCAAGACTTGATCCTGTGTTTTGAACGAATCGGTTGAATGAGTGACTCAAAACACAATTGATTCAAGGACAAACCAGAACTTATAGTTGTATAAAAATAAATAGTTAAGTGTGATTGTGCCCTTCAAACATTTCAAGCCCCTCATGTCACTGATATGTAATTGAATTGATTTAATTGATTCTCATCTGAGGTAAACTAATTATGAATATAGTGTTAATATGAACATTTTATGGAGGAATTATTATGAGTGCTAATTTACATTGAGCTAAGATACTCAAATGCTGTTACTCAGTCGAGAGTAAATTGATTAAAAGCATATAAAACCATACTATTATTAGTAAATGAATGTCTCATAAGCTAGATAGGCTTATCCATTATATTCTCCTCTCTAATATTTACTACTTGATCTGCCACTGGCTGCGCTTGCAGTCAAAAAAACAACAGTGAAGTTATGGTTATGTATGAAGACGTGTAGGCTATTAATATTGATTCGTCATTTGTTTTATGTATTGTGCCAAGTTAATGGTTCAACAAGAACACAATCATCTCTATGTGAAGCACAGTGGATAAAAAGAAAATCTTACGTATTCCAGTGAGGCGTGAGGCACAATGTTCCCGATAAAGCTTTGGTTGCAGTCGTGTTTGTACCACTGAGGGTGCCTTACATTAAACTGTAGTTTATTCCTTGTTGCCTTGATGTGCATTATATTAAATCACTACGAATTACATATTCCACCACATATCTAATGATTCAGATAAAAGTAAGAGGTCAACATTTTCTCTAAGAGTACAAACGAACTAACAACAGCAAAATTACTGCCACTATCACTGCAGTTTAGTGCCTAAATCCACTAACTCAGTTGTTTAGATAATAGGCAATAAATTTTTGGACCTCTAATCACGCTTATGACTGAAATGGTGAGTTATAATAATGGAATATTGTGGCTAACCTTCCCATGATTGTCCTGTAAAGCTGTGTAATGATTTATGTATGTTATGTGTGTTTTGTGATTTTTCTTTTCTTTTTTTTTGGCTCATTAAAATCCATTTAGCCAAAACATTAAACATGGTTTTAATTAAACTTGTTTGTCTGCATAAGCAAAACATTTTATATTCATATGTAACGTTCCTATTTTTGAACGATTACGTTGGAAGGTAAGAAAAACATGAATCTTTATTAATTACTTTGAAATATAAAGTTATTTTTAACATATATTTAACATAACATTTTAGTAACATTTTTTAGCCTATGCTGTTATTAAATTAAAACCTAACAACCTAATCTTAAGCACTTCTCAATAATATACAGTGATATTATTTTTAATAATTAAGCTATAGACGTTGTTTTAATAATTCAACAAATTGAATTAATGTACTTGATTAAACACTATAAAACCATCCTTTTAATTTCACAAATTCTTTGTTAACACCTGTACATTTCTAAAGTTGTTAATACGTGAGAAGGCTGTCACATGAATAATATTCGTTCAGTGTTTATGCAAAACTATGAAAATGTATGTGTGCTAGAACTACATTTGAAATAGGCTATGAGTTTCTACGATTAATGAGTTCAGGTTGGAATGGTAAAACACACCTGGCCACCGTAAAAACAATGGCTGTATCAGTGTTGTAACAGTAGAGGGCGCCACCATAGTGAACGCTATCCTACACAGCTGTAAGACAGATTCAGTGAGTCATTTCCCGCCTTGGAAAATAAGCATGTATGAACTAGGGATGGGCGATACCACTTATTTTGTTTTTGATACGATACCGATATTTTTCAAGGCAGTATCGTCGATATCGATACCGATTCGATACTTCTGAACTAAACTTTTAAATTATTAAATTTATTAAATTACTAAGAGTAAAATGGGTAATGATAACCACTTAACTTTGTTTACAACACATTTTAACATTCAATACGCCTTAATTGTAACTTATTAGGTTATATTTTTGTACATGGGTTCAAATATGTTTTTTGTTTACACATGATTCAAATCTACAAATACTACAGTTGAACTATGGTCATTTTAGTAAAACCATGGTTCATTATCATAAGGGACTGCCAGTGACAGGCTGTTGCATCCATAAAATGCAACCTTTTTGTTCTTACAGTGTATGATTTCTATTATCATTACAGAATAGAACATGATCTATATTATCTTTCAACGTTCAATTTAAATAAATGTAATTGTACAAACTATGTAGGCTACGATTTCAATTTGTTTATTGTGAAATAACTCAAACATATGTTTTTTTCTGTCCTCTGATAAGCATTGTTCGGGGCTGCTGTTCCCAAAAGCTTTAATGCTTTCTTATGATACTTTTGGGAAACGCAGCCCTGTTTGAATGTACTGTCAGAAGTGAGTGAACGCTCTCTTTGATGGATTGGTTCTGTCTTGCGACATTTCAGTTCAAGTGAAAATGTTCAGATGAGCAGGAAAATAGTTCTATCCTACACAATTACTTGCGAACAAAGGTTATTCGTCCAATTCAATGCATTTGTACGCATTATTATTATTTAAAATAAACAAAATCACTGGTAAATAAAACACACCTTAGTATCGATATTTTTAGTTTTAGTATCGATACTTAGGATCGATACGCCCATCCCTAGTATGAACCTCTGGAGCTCAGACGCTCAGGTAAACTGGGGAATTCTTCACGACGTCAGAGATTTCAGGTGAACACTTGTTTTCAGTTGCTGACATGCAGTGTTGCCAATTTAGCTACTTTGTAGCTAGATTTAGCGACTTCCCCGCCCCTTCTGAGACTTTTTTCAAAAGTTTAGGGACAAATATAGCAACTTCTTGGACAAACCTTATCTAAGTTCTCATCTTGCCCACTGATCTACGTTCATCTTTATATAGATCAGTGAATTTGCCATTATGATGTCATCTAGTGACACTTAGCTACCAGTTTTAGCTACTTTCAATTGAAAGCAGTTGGCAACACTGCTTACATGGCTTCTGACTGTATAAAACTGGAAAACCCTTTGACATCATCAGGATACCTAAACCTGACATGAGATGACAGTAGTGTGTTATTAAAAATGACACATTTATTTAGAATAACATTTAGGCTAATTCACAATTCATTACATATAGTTTTTGTCACACCCACTATTTAAGTGACTTGAAAAAAACGATTAAAAGGTGATTAAAAGTAGCCTATAGTGAAAACTACATCAATGACATATATTATTGTATATAGTATAGTATAGTATATTGTGTATAGTATATTCACATTTATTGTGTTGTTTGTCATGTTATTTGTCGATTAACCACATCAGAACAGGGTAAACTGGGTAAATCTTTAATTTAGGCTACTTTTAATAAAGATTTATCTTAGCTGTCCTGAGACTGATCAATGAAACATTTAAGGCTGAATGAACTAACATAATATGTAAATGTCAAATTAAATGACATAAAGCTATTAAATATAAAGAACTATTGTCTCAATCAAAGATTGTATTTGTAAATGTGGTGCATGAAAGAGTGAATGTAAGAGAACTGCTGCGTTTGCATTTTGGGCATCATTTTACTGCAACCAAAAAGTAACATTCACGCTCAGCTTCATTGTTTTCACAAACTGTGGAAAAAGCTGCTCAGATCATGAGGGTGAGATGTATTTAAATTTTTTTTTTTTTTAAGTTTGTATATTATGGGCTGTTTGCTGTTACTATTACTCATATTTAAATTTAAATATTAGAATGCGTGCTAAAAACCACTCCGAACACCTTATCAACCGTCATAGCAATACTTAAAAAACAAAATAATAATAAAAAAAATAATTAATTAAATTAAACAATAACCCACCTTATGAATTCTAATAGGTGAATTCAGGTTAATTGGGACATTTTCCCAGTCACCTCAATGGCAAAAAAGTGTCCCAGTTTTACGGAATTAACCCTTAAATAGAGGGGGGGGGCATAATGAGAAGCAGTCAGCCTCTAAACTGATACAGAAACATGCACACACTTTATAGTACACCTTTATGTGTCTGAAATATTTGAACATGTAAAAAAACTATACTCAGAATACCTGAGCTGCATTGCTGAAAATGTAACTTAAAAAATAACACATATTGTGAATTCTAATAAATCAGAACCAAAAACCAGAATCAGAACCAGCCAGTCTCTAAATTGAGACGGAAGTATTTTATTTTAACAAGAGTGATCCCTATTGGGAAAAATCCATGTTGTAAATACAAAAATTCCCTGACTACATCCTGAATCAACAGCTTTATGTGTTACTAACACTACTGATAACAGCAGATGTAGAGGTGGGTGCCAGATTCTGTGGGCAAAGGAAGCGGTGACAACATCATTTAGATGAGCTGTTTGCAATATTTTTGCTGAGATTAGACAATCAGTGACGGCTGAGAGCATCTGTGCTTGATTTATTCTCTACTAGAATACCTGAGTCATCTGAAACACTTCTGATAAACAGCTGTGACAATCAGCTCACCACGACTGTACTGATGTTTGGGGGGAAAACTGCAGAATTCTGCATAACACATTAAGGTGAAATGTCTTAATTGGAGCTGAGAGTACATGATAAGCATGCATTGGCGACATACAGAACTTTGTGGCTTACAGGAGTGGAGCTGTAGATGCTGTGTGGGCTTGGCTATATGACCCCGTCCGGTGAAACTCCCCCTGTACCCCACAACACCGCAGGGCTGAATCTTTACATGCACGTTTTGGCTTAAACTTTTGGATAGTTCACGTACTGTAACATATAATCAATGTTAAAATACCAGAGTGTGCTGCTTGTTTTGACTTGAACGTGCATTTAAATCAGATAGTCTGTTTCATGTGTGGATGTCAGGATAGTTATACCTGTATATAAACCCTTCTGTGAGAGAGTTGAGTTCACAGCAGACATGGGGAACCTCTGGCTGGGCCTGTTCACGCTGCTGCAGCCTGCTGTTCTGTGTGCCTCCCCGCTGCCGCCTCTAGGACTGTCCGCTCGTGGCGACCTGGAGTTTGCAGAGGTAATTAAAGATCCTTAAGATATTCAAATATAGTTTTAAAAACTACAAAACATCGGAATGATGCTTGTCTGTGCAAAACTCACCACCACAATGCTAGGGTGTTGTGAACGGTTGCCAGCATTGATATGCAGATACTAGGGTTTTTGGGTGTTGTAGGTCTCTCCTTCAAGTAAAAAAAAAAATCTAAATTACTTTTGGGTTCACTTTTGGATTATTACACTCTAAAAAATGCTGGGTTGTTTCAATCCAACTTTGGGTCAAATATGGACTAACCCAACCGTTGGGTTAAATTTTTACATTAAATTTTTTACCCAAAAGTTGGGTTAGTCCATATTTGACCCAAAGTTGGGTGTAAAAGTGTAAAAGTTCTTATTTTTGCATATATGAAGTAATGAATTACAAATGTTGCTATATATTTAATATGTGTTTCACTGATCAGAAAAAAATGTGTGTGTGTACTGTATATGCAGGAAGCTGTATATGATGTCACATCACATGATGTTTCAAAACATCTTAGGGAAGTCACTAGTGTGTAGTCATTGGGAACTTCCACTATTCAAGTCTACGCGAATAGCTACAACATCTGTTTCACTGTGTGTGAAAATTCTGAAGTGGTGATTTGCGTAAAAGCATTGAGCTGGTGATGATGGTGACTTTTTATGGGTGTGTATAATTGCACAAAGAGCATGATTCAAAATGCACTGTAATACAGCGCACGCATTAGCATGGGCAGACTACCAAAGGTTTCTGTGCTTGTCTTAAAAAATAGTTTTCAAGTCTATATATTTAGTTTAGGGTAAGTTTTCTCAGCATAAAATAAAAGCAGCTGCTGTGTATGTGGTGTTTTCTGGTGGAATTCTTGAAACGATTATAGTAAACAGCCCTCTGGGCAATAGATTTGTGTCTATTGTGAGTGAGATTACGTAATTAAAACAGCTTTAACTTCGGAAATCCACGAAAGCCAAATGTATCTCAGCCAAAGCAATGAACCTACAGCAGTGATGTGTGCTTATTATTACATTATGACCAGACTAGTCAATAGTAATCTATATAGTAATTTTTCCATAGTAAATTTACCATAATATAGTCAGACAAATATGTTGTTTTATCAACAAAAAAAAACTAGTATTTTATATTAAATTAACTATAGAAAATGTAGTAAAACTGTATTATAGTACTATTATAGTATACTACAATCAGTTTAGCAATTCACTATTCATATTTAAAGGAATAGTTCACACAAAATTGAACATTTGCTGAAAATGTACTCACCGTCATGAGTACCAAGATGTAGATGAGGTTGTTTCTTCATCGAAACAGATTTGGCCAATTTTAGCATTACATCACTTGCTCACGCTGTCAGAATGAGAGTCCGAACATCTGATAAAAACATCACAATAATCCACAAGTAATCCACACCACTCCAGTCCATCAAATAATGTCTTGTGAAGTGAAAAACTGTGTTTTTGTAAGAAACAAATCCATCAAGGGGTTTTAACTTCAAACTGTCGCTTCTAACCAAAATACCATCCTATTCTTTTAAGACTGCAGTATACTGTAGTATACGTTAACAAAGTGCAGTAAATCAAACAATATATTGAATGAAAATTTACTACAGTTTACTAAGTATACTGCAGTATTTTTCATGTGGGACACCCCATTTTACACTGAACAAAATTATAAACGCAACACTTTTGCTTTTGCCCCCATTTTTTATGCGCTGAACTCAAAGATCTAAGACTTTTTCTATGTACACAAAAGGCCTATTTCTCTCAAATATTGTTCACAAATCTGTCTAAATCTGTGTTAGTGAGCACTTCTCCTTTGCCGAGATAATCCATCCACCTCACAGGTGTGGCATATCAAGATGCTGATTAGACAGCATGATTATTGCACAGGTGTGCCTTAGGCTGGCCACAATAAAAGGCCACTCTAAAATGTGCAGTTTTATCACACAGCACAATGGGAGCGTGCAATTGGCATGCTGACAAGAAGGGTCTGGCTGCAGCTTGGCGCTTGCACTCTCAGACGTGCATTCTCAGGCTTGCACTCTCAGACACATGCGCTTCCGCTAGCTACGTCACTTGCAGTCTTTTATTTGTTTTTATTTTGTTCTATTTATTGATTACTTTTTGTTTGAATCGCTCAACGTTTTACAACAATAGCCAGGTGGTGAAGACAAGAAAAAAGAAACTAAATTACAATGTCACTTGCAATCGCCACTTGCA